GACTGGAGGAAATGTGACTCTGTCTGTGTGTTTTAAGCCCCTAAGGTAAGATCAGAAAGCGTCTGGGGCAGTGAGAGCCAAATAGTTGAAGTCATACATTAATTATGGTCATGAATCATTTTTATTTTTAAAGTCTTTACTATTTGACAAGGTTGTTTGCATAGTACTAGTGAGTTTTAGGCAGCATTTTCCCTCCTTTTAAAGTAACAGGTTATTTTGTTGATTTCTACTCTGGGTTGATAATGCCTATCAAATTAGAATTCTGATAACATTTTTAATAGAAATTGCTTGTTTCTTGCCAGAATGAATGGTCTTTAATTTATATGATTTTTCTTTTGAATATATTTTGAAGTCATAGAAAACTGTCACTTTAATCTTTTAACTCTTTCACTGATATCTGTTGTTGTTCAGTCACTAAGTCATGTCCAACACTCTGCGACCCCATGGACTGCAGCATGCCAGGTTTCCCTGTCCTCCGCTGTCTGCTGAAGTTTGCTCAAATTCATGTCCGTTGAATCAGTAGTGCTGTCTGACCATCTCATCCTGTGTTGCCCTCTTCTCCTTTGCCTTCAAATCTTTCCCAGCATCAGTATATCAGTATCAGTAAAAATAATCAAAATTTGGGGACTGTACTTTTATATACAGGCATTAATCGACATTCAGTCAGCAATATGTTTTGTGCTACATTCTGTGCTAAGCACTGGGAATGTAAATGAAAAAAACGTGTTTGTTTCTTTTTCTCAGAAGGATCTAGTAAAGAAATAGCAAAGGAAATAGACAGTTGCCATAAAATGTGGTTCTATAATCTTTGTCAGTGTTTGTATGATGCCATGGATCCCCACAGGAAGAAGTACCTTTGCCTGTCTGGGATAGTCAGGGAAGGCCTTTGAAGGAGAATGTATGCTAGGGGTGTCCTTGTCTGTTAAGAGTGAGGGAAACTTATAGGCAGATAGAACAACTCACTCAAAGGTACAGAAGGAAGAAATGGCATGATGTGTTTGGAGAGTTGCTAGTCATTCAGTGTTGTTGGAGTTGTGTGTACAAGGTTAGAACAGCAGAAAATGAGGCTGGGGCCACATCACAAAGGGCATTTCCTTGGTTTCATGTTTCTTAGTCACCTTTATAGGAGAGTATTGTTCTCAAGAGAGTGTACACCTGCACAGACAGCAAGAGTCAGTGGGATGGAGAATAGTCTCCTCTATTGGATTTCTTTGGGGTCTCGAGGAAGTTGCAAAAGGACTGATCTCATGAGCAGTCTCAGAAGAGTTGCTCCTTTTTAGATCACCTGAGAAGTCCTCACTAACTATCAGGCGGTTTCTGAAAGTGCAAAATATGTCTTGACTCTTTTTAGTGCAAGGTGTTATGATAATAATGTTGGCAGAGGCATTGATATTATCAACTCCCTCACAAAATTAACATCCTTGTGTATAGGGTAACTTTCAGGTTAGGAGAGTTCACTTGTTTTATTCATTTAAAAAACTGAAGTAGAACTTCCTTACAGTGAAATACTTAGATCTTAAGTTTAAATTCTGTGTGTACCTTTGCACCTCTCACCTCAACCAAGAGATGAAACATTTCCATCACTTCAGATAGTTGCTTTATTTTCCTTGGTCTCTTCTAGTCAGTCCTGCCTGACAGAGGCAACCAGCCACTCTTAATTTCTGTCATCATGGATTGGTTTTACCTGTTCTTGAACTTTGTTTAAATGGAATCATATAGTATGTACTTTTTTGTGCCTGAGTTTTTTCACTCACCCTAATGTTTTTGAGGTTCATTCACATTGTTGTGTGTATCACTGTTGTGTTCCTTTTTAATGCTGAGTAGAATTTCATTATATGAGTATACCACAGTTGCCTTATTAATTCTCTTGTTTGATGGACATTTGGGTCATTTTCTGTGAACATTCTTACAAATATCTTCTTGTGAATATCTTTTTATATTTCTTGAGTAAATGGTAAGGAGTAGAAATACTGGGTCACAGATTAGATGTTTGTATAACTTTATAAGAAACAGTTTTCCAAAGTGATGACACTATTTTGCCACCAGCGCATGCAAGTCCTAGTTGCTCCACATCCTTCTAGCATTGGGTGTTATAATTTTAGTTATCCTATCAGGTATGAAATGGTATTGCATTTCAATTTTAATTTCCACAATGACTGAGATTTTGAGCACATTTTCCTATGCTTATTGTCTTATATCTTACTGTTTTCATAATTTATTTTTGGTTGTGCTGGGTCTTCAATGATGCATGTGAGTCTTCTCTAGTTGTGATGCATGGGCTCCCCATTGCGGTGGCTTCTCTTGTCATAGAGCATGGACTCTCTTATATCTGTTTTGTGAAGTGTTTCACTCTTTTGCCCATTTTTTTTTTTTATATATTCCTCTAGAGATACAGAAGCTGTATCTCTCTAGTAGACAACTAACACATAGAATACATTCTTAATTCTTATTAAAACAGTGAATGAACGCTTGATGTGATTATTTTAACAGAGGAATTTCTATCTCTGGAATCAGAACTGCTTATTCTCTGAAATCATGGAACTGCTTTTTCTGTGCTCACTTTGGCAGCAGGTATACTAAAACAGGGAACTGTTTTTTTTTCTATGTTACTTTATAACACCAGTTCTCTACAGAGTGGCCCAGATAAAATTAAATACCTGGTTTGTTTCTTTCATGTAACTGCTAGCTGCATCCTGAAGGATAAGCTCCCTGCTATTTCTAAAGATCAGTGACATGGCTTGGTAATTCATTGTTGTTATTGTTCAGTTGCTAAGTTGTGTCCAACTCTTTGCAACCCCATGGGCTACAGCATGCCAGGCTCCTCTGTCCTCCACTATCTCCTGGAGTTTGCTCAGATTCATTGCCATTGTGTCGGTGATGGTGTCTAACTGTGAGCACCAAAGAATTGATGCTTTTAAACTGTGGTACTGGAGAAGACTCTTGAGTCCCTTGGACTGCAAGGATATCAAACCAGTCAATCTTAAAGAAAATCAGTCCTGAATATTCATTGGAAGGACTGCTGCTGAAGCTGAAGCTCCAATACTTTGGCCACCTGATGCCAAGACCTGACTCATTGGAAAAGACCTTGATACTGGGAAAGACTGAAGGTGAAGGAAGAAGGGGTTGCAAGGGGTGGTAATTCATGGTCTCACACAATTATTTGACGTGAATTAGCAACCACAGTCAGAAAGTTGATAGATATTTACATAACATCTACTTTGTAAATGTTTTGCCCATTTTTAATTAGGTTGTCTCTTTGTTACTGATATGTAAGGGTTCTTTATATACTCCAGGCATAGTACTTTGTCGAATTGATGTTTTGTAAGTATTTTCTCCTAGTCCATGGCCTGCTTCTATATTTTCTTAATGGCATCGTTAGATGAACAGAGATTTTTTTTTTGGCAATGCCTAATTTATTCATTTTTAATTTTATGGTTAGTGCTTTTGTGTCTTCTCTAAGAAATCTTTGCCTACCCCACGTTTGCAAGAGATTCTCCTTTGTTTTCTTCTACAGTTTTTATGATTTATATTTACTTTTATATTTACTGTGATATTCTTGAGTTAATTTTTTTGTGTGCTGTAAGGTTGGGAATGAAATCCATTTTTTCCCTATCCAGTGTTTCCAGCACCCTTTGTTTAAAAAATTTTCCTTTTTCATTAGTCTCCCTATGTTCCTTTGTCCAAAACCAATTGACCATACATTTGTAGGTCCGTTTGTATACTCTTTATTCTGTTCCATTGATCTATTTTTTGATTCTTAAATAGTGAAGTCGCTCAGTCATGTCCGACTCTTTGCAACCCCATGGGCTGTAGCCTGCCAGGCTCCTCTGTCCATGGCATTCTCCAGGTCAGAATGCTGGAATGGGTAGCTGTTCCCTTCTCCAGGGGATCTTTCCAAGCCAGGGGTTGAACACAGGCCTTCTGCACTGCAGGCAGATTCCTTACCAACTGAGCCACCAGGGAAGCCCAAGAATCCTGGAGTGGGTAGCCTGTCCCTTCTCCAGGGCATCTTCCCGGTCCAGCAACTGAACCGGGATCTCCTGCATTGCAGTCAGATTCTTAACTGTGAGCCACCAGGGAAGCCCATCCTTGATCCTTAGACTAGTACCATAATGTTTAATTGTGTAGCTTTTATAAAAGGAAGTCTTGAAATCTGGCAGATTTAAAGATCGGTTTATCTCTTCTAGATTCTTTGTTTTTCTATATAATTAGTAGTATCAGCTTCTTAATTTCTACAAAAAGAAACACACACACACAAAGCCTGTTGTGATTTTGATTGTAATTGTGAAATTATTGACCCACAGAAATATAACTGAATGTTTGTTGACCCTGTGTCTGTGACATTATTAGTTCTTGTAGTTGTTTGTGGATTCCTAATGATTTTCTACATGAAAATCATGTCATCTGTGAATAAAGAAAATTTGAGCATTTTAAATATGTACATATACACAAAATATATAAGCTATATTTGAAGACAGATACCAAGAAAAGCACAAACCTGTAATTAAAGCAAAAAAAAAAAAACTCTTAATTTTCAGTGCTCCTTCTTTCAAAAGATATGCTGCTTTAATTCAGTCTTCTTGGAATTACCATTAATTTTTTTTTTTTCTTTCTGGATACCCATAAGTAATAGCGTTCATAGCAGTGATATTTTTTTAATGCCTTTACTAATGCAGTTAATATCTCTGGGCCTCAAGTTTCCTATCTTTAAAGTGATAGGATTCAATCAGATTATTTTCTGAGGTCTCTCAGATTCCCATTTTAGCTCTCAATACGTCACAGGCCGGCAAGTGGGCATAGAAAGGGTGTTTTTAGAACGTACTGTAACCCTTGTTATTTCCCTGTTGTAAATATGCTAGAGAACTGTGAACTGATCAGTTTGAGTTCGTTATTCTCTTTATCCTGGAAGCTTTGTTCTCATTTTGTTCCATTTATGCCTGTGGCTCTGGGTTGAGTTTATAGTTAACTCACTTACATTTTTCTACAACTTTTATTTCTAGGCTTCATAGAGCCCAGTGTGCAATTAAACAGACTCAGGTAACTGTTCAGAAAATTGGAAAGGAAATTGAAGAAAAACTAAGACTCACATCTACAAGCAATGGGCTGGTAGGTTTTTATATATTAACATCTCTAAATTCCTTGATTTCTAAGTGTGATCATCATATTATTCTTGTATTAATTTCTCTCTTTCCCCACTCCTCCGAAACCTGCAGGTAGTTTTTTCTTTTTTTCCCCCTTAATGTTTCACTGAGACTTCTATTAGTATTTAAATGTTAGAAATCAGACTTTCACATCTGCTAATAGTGTAACGTACAAAGTGCCTTTTTGTGTTAATTGGAACTTTAGAATACATACAGTTACTTAGAAAATAATCAAAAGCTATTTTAGTAATGTCTCATAAATATGAACTCAAACTGTACAGACACAAACTATATAATGAATGAAAAATAGCTGCCAGAAGAAAAAAATATATAAACTTTAGAGACTAATCTGCTTTAAAAATTTTTTAAATTATTTGGATTGAATTTAGTAAATTAGTTTATGGACAGTGTTCTCTTTCGGGAAAGATTCTTTTAAAGAGATATTTCCAAAGAATAGATATTCCAACCCAAACAGACAGATTTAAGATACTAGCATAATTTTGGGGTTGCTTTATATTCTTCCTAGTGGAATGAAGATTCTTTTTAAGTAGAATAGTGAGTATAACCAATAGATGGAACTCTCAAAGTGAAGTCACATTGCTAATGATAGCTTTTGAAAAAAAAAAAAAAATGATAGCTTTTGAAGAAATTTGTGCTATGATTGTGTTAGTGCATTCTACTAAGTACCTTTAGTCATGTCCGACTCTTTGCAACACTATGGACTGTAGCCCGTCAGGCTCCTCTGTCCATGGAATATCCAGGCAAGAATACTGGAGTGGGTTGCTGTGCCCTCCTCCAGGGGATCTTCTCAACCCCTGGATTGAACCCGCGTCTCTTACATCTCTGCATTGGCAGGCAGGTTCTTTACCACTGGCACAATCTGGGAAGCCCATGCTATGGGTAATGGTACTTAAAATAAAACTTGAATCCTCAGGTTAAGTCTGAAGTGAAAACCTTTTGAGTATTTGTTTGCACGAACTCAGTAACATGAATAGGCAGTATAGTCCAGCTGTCATTCACTGTACTACCAATTTGGCAAAAGCTCTTTATGTCCCCAAACAAAAGTTCCATTACCTGTAAGATTTGCCTGACATAATTATTCAGGGGATTAACTATAGAAAAGCAATTAACCTACACAGGTTTTCTTTCATGGAATTTAAAATTAATGGATGATAAAGTAATCTATGTAAAACTGCTGATTTTGACCTATAAATGGCAGTGTCATATAACTCAACCTAATATATAAAATAGCTAGTTCTGTGCCTGTACATGGCCGGCATGCAAAATGTGGTAGCTGCAATAACTACGGTAATAATACTTGTTATTCATATGACTTTTCTTGCCTGTGGAAAATCTTCCACTTTGGAGAAGCTGTTAAACCTCCTCCTGTAACTCAGGCCCCAAAAAGGGCCAAACTCCAGGCCACAAATATATTGGAGGAAGAGGAAAAACTAGCTAATTTTAATCCTTTCTATAGTGTACAAAAATACCACATTTTTAGAGCCTTTGTCTGGTGAGAAACTGCTAGGTTTTTTCTTATTTTCCTCTCCCAAGGCAAGACTGGGAAATTACTTATTTCATTAAGTGACAGCATATGCTTTGTCTCAGTATGGAAAAATGTATGTTTAATTCTATTTTCCTAAAATATAAGTGGTGACATGCAGAGCAAGGTGATAGAGTGTAGGAGTTTAAAGAGTTTAGGTTCAGAGGTTCACTGTGTGTTTTTATGCGGCCTAGTCAACATAGAACAAAATCATGGGATTTTTGAACTGAAAGTGAACCTAGAAATCTGTTTCCTTTATAACCTCACCTAAAACCACACCCAACTACTACATTCTGTTCCCTTCCCTCCTTTGATTTTCTCCATAAAAATATTACCGTTTAACATGCTATACACTTTACATATGTATTTTATTTGTCTCTCTAAACTCTGTGAGGAGAGGGAGTTTTGTCTATTTTTTTTTCTCCTCATGGCTGTATTTTCCAGTGTAGTGGTGGACACACACTAGGTGCTCAGTAAATATTTTTTGAATTTAAGAATGAATCTAGTGTAATATCTTTTTAAGGAACAGGTAAATGAGACCTAAAGAAAGTAAGCAACTTTCCTATCATCATTAGACAGTCAGAATTTTTGGTTTCCTTGCCTTTTTTTCAAGAAGTAATATTTGTTTGTTACCTACTGTGAGATTTATCTGTAATAAATTAGAAGCTCTTACTATTATCTTTTTTTCCTTCATTCCCTTTCCAAATTGGCCCAAGGTCCTTATTCTTCAACTCAGTCATTTTCAGTGTATAAGAATTAATTTTAGTCTAAGTATAAATACAGTCAGAAGGCATATTTGATGTAGAAAGAAATTAGATTGCCTTCTAAGATCAAATATAATTAACTGTTAGAAGAAATTAGGTTCATACTTTCTGAACTTTGGCATCTTGTCATCAATGTCCAACATAATTTTGGTGGCACGTAATTATGTTTTTTAAGAAATTTCTGCAGTTATCATTTTGGTTTTTTTTTTTTTTGCTTCAGTGTTTTCGATTTTGTCAAATTGCCTTTCCTTCCAGATTTCCTTAATTTTTACCTTAATGTACCTTTTCTGTTCCAGAATCCCATCCAGAAAACCATATTGCTTTTAGTAGTTATACTTTGTTAGACTCTTTTTGGTTGTGAAAATTCTTCAGACTTTGATTTTTTTATGATCTTGACAGTTTTAAGGATTACTTGGTCAGCTGTTTTATATAATATCCCTTGATTGGGGTTTGTCTGATGTTTTGTTGCAATTAAACTCAGTTCTAATGTCTTTTTTTGTTCCAATATCCAGTCTAGGACACCGCATTTAGTTAGTCATCATGACTTCCTAGGCTTCTCTGATCTTTGACAATTTTTCGTTCTTTCCTACTTTTAAATCATGACTAATGCTGATAGTAACCTTGATCCCTTGGTTAAAGGTAATGTCTCCTGTGTTTATGCACTCTAAAGTTCTCTTTCTGTACTCTGGAAAGCAAGATGTTCAACCTGGCCTCCACTCAAGAAGAGGGGACTTCAGCTCCACCTCCTGGAGGGGAGACAATCTTAACACATTATTTGGAATTCTTTGTGAGGAAGATTTGTCCCTTCTTCCCCCACTCATTTATTTATTTATTCAATCATTTAATCTTCAGTACATCTGATACAATGTTATTTGTTTTCTTGTTTCAGATGTGGCATTGAGAGTTCTTTCAAGTTGGCTTCTGTCTTTTTGCCCTCATCTCTTCTTTTATGTTTTTTTGCTTTTTCCAGCAGGTTCTTAATTTCTGGCACTGTGTGATCCCGGTCTCAGCGCTAGACTCAGCCATTTCTCCTAGGAGTCCTAGTCCTTTCACTGACTAATGATATTTAGAAACAAGATCTGGGCGCGGGTGTGCCATTGCAGCTGCGTTGTCACTGCTTCTAGGCCCTCTCAGTGGACAGAACTGGTATACACAAATATCTGTCTCTATGTATTAAAATTAACATGAGTTCATACCAGTATACTCAACCCAACTCCACGGAGTTTATTCTGGTCTTTCCCCTCATTGTGTTTCTTGTAGTATCTTTTTCTGATAGTGAGAAACCATTAGTACAATTTATTTGCTTACTTTTTTAGTCCTTGTGTACTTGATAAGGAGGTCATATTTTTCCCCTCATTTTAAAATAGGTTTTTGTCTTCATATATTGTGGTTAAAGACCACATGGGCATGTGTGTTTGTGTGTGTTTTTGGATACAAATCCTTTATCTGATATGTGTGTTGGGAATATTTTCTTCAAGTTTGTGGCTTGCCTTTTTGTGTTCTTAATGCTGCTTTAAAGAGCAAAAGTTTTAAAGTTTGATGAAATCCAGTGAATTTTTAAAAATTTATGTTTAGGGCTTTTTGTGTTCTTTCTAGGAAATTTTTGCCTAACCCCAAGTCATATAAATTTTCTTTGGTATGTTCTTCTAGAAATTTTACAGTTTTGGGTACATTTAGATCTATGATCCATCTTAAGTTTTTTTTGTTTTTTTTTTAATGAGTTAAGTGAGGTAATGTTTTTTGTATGAATGTCTGGTTGATGTAGCATCATTTCTTGACCAGTCTTTCCTTTCCCCATTTAATTCAATTGAAAGTTTGTCTTAAATCAGTTGAGCATATGTGAGTACCTTTATTTCTGGATTCTCTATTTGGATCCATTCATCTATGTGTCTGCCCTTTATCAATACCAAACTCCCTTATTATTATATTATTATATTTTTGTCATATTAAAACCAGATGAGGTAAGTTCTCCAGCTTGGTTCTTTTGAACAATTCCCGTGGGTTTTCTCAGTTCTTTGTGTTTACAAGTGAATTTGAGAATCAACTTATCACTTCCTACCAAAAAAAGAAAAAGCCTACTGGAAATTTGTTCGGTATTTATAGATCAATTTGCGGAGAATTGCAGTCTTTTTTTTTTTTTTTTAGAATTGCAATCTTAACAATATCAAGTTCTCCAATCCATGAACATGGCATATATGTCTTTTATTTTGATTTTTTCTTTAATTCTCTCAATAATATACTGCAGCTTTCACTGTACAGATTCTGGGCATCTTTTATTTGTGTTTTTCCTAAGTATTTCATGGGAGGCTTTTTATTTGTTTTTGGCATTAGTGTAAGTGGGATTGTTTTGAAATTTTGTCTCTCATTTGTTTACTGCAAATATATAAGAATACAATTCAGTTTAAGTTAGTTACCTTGCATCTTGCAGTCTTATTAACTTATAAATTCTAGTAGTTATTTTGTAGATTTCTTGGGATTTTCTGCATAAACAATTATATCTACAAACTTGGATTACTTTATGCACTTAAGTTTTCTGCCTTATTTCAATAACTAGGACATACAGTACAGTGTTGAATAAATGTGATACAAGTGGAGATCCTTTACTTGTTTCTAATCATAAGGGGAAATGATTCATGTTTCCTCATTAAATATAAGGTT